CAAATACTTGCTCTGAAGCAGACTGTTCAGCAGTGTTATTGATGCAGAATGTTAAAAGTAGGTAGAAATTAAAGTATTACAATGTATTTATTATGTAAATTCTATTGGAATGTTAACATTATGCATATATATATTTTTTAAATGGGTCAAGTACAGCACCTTAATTGATCAATGGGGAAATCAGCTTATGACATTTAGATTCACCCATGACCTCATGTGAAAAAGAGATTGTTTCCTGTGCATTTTTTAAGGACATTGGATTGGCCTCAATTATCTCCAGGGAAATGGAAAACCCTGAACCTGGCACTTTAAAGGCTAAAGAGCCCTGAAGGCACCTCTAAAGTGTATGTCAGTAAACCATGCAGATTGACACAATAGTACCCTGAATGTAACTTTCAGAATGAAATATGGATAATAATTAAGTAAAATGTTATTTTGAGATTTTTATTCCCAAATGGTTCATTGCTTTCATAGTCTGAATTCCAGTGCCCTTGTCGGTCCAATTAAGATGCTTAATTGAAAGATTCCAAGTAAGCAGACTGTCCTGGCACCCAAGGGGGATTGCACCTGGTAATGATATCTCTGAATTGCACAGAAAGAATATACTCACAAATGTTAGCAGAGGAACATGTATTTGATAGTGGGACATTTATTCTCCAAGTGTAAAGAAAATTGAGCCTGAGAATCGGGTGCCATAGTAACCTAGAATGCCCTTGTTTTCTTTTTTTCAGGTCTAATTTTAAACTATCCATCCCTTCATTCTTTCCCCCACAATTCCTTCATTTTTAAGTGATGGATAAAAATACAACTAGCGGTAGGAAATTTTAATTTATTAGCATTATTTTCTGGTTACTCTTTGCAACTTTGTCTGAAATGCAAGATGAGGCGAGCCATTCTATGACTGCCAGGCATCCCTTCCAAAGTAGAACTATTAGGATGGTCAAGGTTATAGTTGGACTAAGAGCGCTAGAGAGAAATTGCGTACACACTTTTGATTTTAATATGCACATTGGCACCCAATTATACATGGCCTTATGTTGAAACAATACATTTTTATGATGCTCTTTAATTCTTTTCTGTGAGAACTTTTCTTTGTTATTTTATCTGTATTATGTCACATGTATGTTTTCTGTGCTGTGGATGAATACCACACGGAACATGGCATAAACTGGATTACTTGTGTGCTATTTGCATTTCTCTGATAAATGGTATGGCAGTAATTGTGTTGTGTCTTTAACATTCTCCGTTGTGAATTATATTTACATCTTGTTCATGAGTTATTCAAAAATAGGAAGAAAAAGTTATCAACAATAGAGTATCATTAACCTTAATTAAAAAAAATTTAGAACTCTATCTATGGTATATAACAATAATAATAATAATAATAATAATAATAATAATAATAATACAATATAGGGTCCAAAGGTATTTCAGTAATTTTTTTTAGAAATGATTGACTGTGGCTTTTGTCCAACTATATGATGAGAAGCATGATATTTGTGTTTCCTTATAATAAATGGACAGCTAAAATTGGATATAGAAGTTTTCTTTGTATTTCTATCCAAAGATGATTTCCTGTTAGTATTTTCTTTTTGTAAATAACAAATAATTGTGAATAATTGTTTCCCTGCTCCCACTGCCTTCATCTCCTTGTTTAAAACTCTCCCCTTCTGTGTTTGAAGGTCATTTTTTTTTCCATCCATTGTCATTCTAACCCAGTACTCCGACAAAGCAACTCCTCTAATTTCCATACATTACTTTTCTCTGGGAGTGGCCACAGTAGTGCTGACACTCTTCTCACTGACCCAGCAACTACTGGAAGTCCTTAGTCACTATCCAGAAATAGTTTCCACCACAAAACCTGCATATGAAATTACTGACCCAGCTCATAGGACAAAAGGTGACACTAAAAGTGTATTTGTATTGTTACAGGGCTGCCTAATGGTCAAGTATTCCTGATTATCATAGGTTTCCAGATTCATTTGTCTTCTGATTTAGCACATTTCAACATCATATATCTGGGTTAAACAAATACTTCTCACGTTCAAGTATTCTGTATTTGTCAAGAAGTTTAAATAAAATGGAATTAAATTTCTCCTTACTCTACATACCTCTAGGGGGACACATGCTAGAGAAATAACTATCATGCTTTTGAAGCCAGGTTACACAGGTCTTTTTTGCTTAATTATATGAAGAATTAAAATGTGGTGTTTTCTTCCTGGAAGTGATATTTTGTGTGTCTTTAACATATGTAACTAAGAGAGAATTGCTAACAATATAGTTATGTCACAGACATTTCCTACTGGACAAAGCACTTTATTTGACACAGGCTTTTATCTTCTGTACACTCTGAGAGAACTGGAACTAGATGTGGTTTTGCTTCCAACAGGTGTTATGACAGAAATTTTCAAAACTGATGTGTTCTTTGTTGTATACAACTTTCAAAATTTGTTTCAGTCTTTCTGTCTGCCCTTCTTGTTAAAAATTGTACCCTCAAAAGAACAACCTTCATTCAGCCTCCTGACTTTTAGATTATTGGTTAGTTAAGGACTGCTGTCGGGCATTACCAAGACTCCAGGGAACAAACGTAGTGAAATATATGTCAATTATGAAAAAAATAAATGGGGTTCTAAGAGCATAGTGTGTAGCAAATAGGAACTTTTCATCCCAAAGATATTGCTTTAGTATGCAGTTTAGAAGGAAGATTTTGGTCCTGAAACACATCATCAGATATAAATCGGATGCCTCTACTTTCACTGAGAGTAAATAATGCTTTTGAGACTTCATCTTTCTTTTGGATGAACTTATGTCCTTTCCTTATTTCAGAGGCAGAAAAATGTAACATATCTTTTCATTTTGGCGTAAGTTTTAGTCCATTGAAATGTTTATTTGCTATCGGATAGGAGTGGGAAAATCTTCCAGGTGCTGTCTTATCAAGAGGGCAACCCTACCGACAATTTTTGCCTCTTATCATGATACATTCTCAAAGTTAACACAAAATACAAGTATCTGGGTTAAACCAATATGGCTCACGTTGAAATATTCCATATATGGCTGGCAGTTAAATTTGAATTTAATTTTCCTTACACAATACCACTGTGCCACAGGTTTATTGTTTTAATAGTCAACACCCATGCAGAGTGTATGTGTGAGTGTGTGTGTGTCTATTGTGTTGGATGAGGAAATACAATATATAGCACACTTCAATTTATAATATTGGAAATGTCAGTGTGTAATTTTTTTCAGTATTTAATGGCTCTATCTAAGTTTTACATTGTAAAATAATTTTATGTTTGAGCATAAATTAGGTGCATAATGGCAAGTAAATTTCCATTTGGAGCAAATTGTCTATAAAACTTTCTTTTAGACAAAGCTTTGTTTTAATTTGCTTTAAGCATCTTTAAAAAAAACTGTGAATTAATATCAACAGATAATTCCTGGAATTTGAATTGAATTAGTATGCTGAAGCCAATCCTTTTTGGTCAGGAGAAAAAGACTGTAAAATACTAAATGTCACCTTATATAATGTGCAAATCAGTTGCATAGGAACTTACTTTTATATTTTTAGAAAATGTCTATTATTCTTTGAAATTTCTTATAAAAATGTGTATTGTCTTTTATTCAAATGGTTAGAAAAATAAAACAGTCTGACTTTAACAACTTTAACTTCTGTATTAACGTTGTACATACTTGAGAATTACAGGCACAGCTGAGTAAATTATACGAAAAATAATTAGAAAAACAAAAACAACAGGTGACGATTTCATCAGAGTGCCAGAATCCTAGGTTATTAATTTGTCTATCCTTTTCCATTTTACAGTTTTCCTCTTGATTTTGGATATTGTGCTCATTCCCTATTGCTCATTTTAATGAACACTTAACCGTATAAAATATTTGTTCATTTCAACAGAATTCCCTCTGGTTTCAAAAAAAAAAAGTGCAGAAGCCATTTCAGGGCTTAATTAGGGAAATATGGACCCTCTATGCTAGTTCCATCAATTTTATCACAAGTAAGAGCATTTTAACTATTCCCTTTGTCTATACAATCATTTGCAACCCAGCAGAAAAATTCCATTCCCTCCACAGTAAGCTTAACCAAGCAGGACAGTCAGTTGGAGTGAGGTCACACTGAAAAATGCTTTTAAAAGGGTTTTCTAAACCTTTTAAAATTTTAAGTTAAGTTTTAATGAGCATTGCAGAAGAGTTAGATCCCCAGGGGGCAAATCAATTTTGAGTGTTACGCTGCCTGTTCCTTTTAGCCTCTGAAGTCCTACCTTAACTGACTTCTCCGTGGTTATGTTGAGCTAGATATTCAGGATGAAAGAATATATATACAGAACAAATATACAGCCTGTGAATTTCTCCCTCACCCAGGGGGTCACCAAATCCTTCAGCCACTTTATTTTTTCAAGTGGTGAAAGGGATGGAATGGGTAGAACAGAGTAGCTGGCTGTTTGAGCGCTAAGGGAAGTGTGAGGTATAAGGTGGGCTATAGAAGGTTTGGGAGCCTTCATTAGGATACGCTTGGTGATTTTTTTCCCTCTTGGGTCTAGATTGGCTCCCGGTATACGGAAAGTTTAAAATTCAGCCTGGGGCCCACTGTGGTTTAACATGACTGACTACCGGGGGATAAAGGAAAGCTGCCTAGTGAAGTTCAGACCCGTGTTTACTTTTACTTTTTCCCTCACATGTGTGTTGTTTTAGGGACGTTTGGACTCATAATGTTAGAGAGGTAGGAGTCTCCCCTACAGAGTTGCGCATTTTCTTCTTCTTCATATATTCCTTCAAATAAACTGACACCGCACGTCCTCCTCAGAGGGCATTATATTGCAGAGTGTACTTCTCTGGGACTATTTACTATCTTCTGCTGTCTCCCTGCAGTAAGGGAATTATATATTAAAGATTAACTGAGCACATCGCTTCCTCTCTGCAGGCTGCCGTGAAGTAAGTCTGCAGGCTGCTGCCCAGCGGTTCTGCAGCTCACCCCTGCGAAAGAACATTTTTGAGGCTAGGTGAGCACACGCTCTTCATTTCATCTGTGAATCAATATTTGGCCTCGTACAAATGCTAAATAATGCACTGTATGGAGCCCGCATTCTAGAAGATATTTTAGTACTGTATTTACCTGTTATTTTTTCAAATTTTTGCTCAAAGATCATCTTCTCAATGAGGCCTACCTGACCATCCTGTTTAAACTTACAATGTGCACCACACCCTACTCTTTATTCTTCAGCCTTACTTATGTTGTTGTTGTTGTTTTTTTTCCCTCATGGCATTTCTTACCACCTAACGCACACTATATCCTTTTTCTTATCAGTTCTGTCTCTCTCCACTGTAATGCACTCTGCACGTGGGCAGGGAGTTTTTGTCTGTTTTGCTCATTCATATATCTTAAGTATCTAGGGCAGAACCTGGTGTAAAGAGAGTGCCAAATCAATGCTATATGCTGTAAAAGTATTTAGTAAATATTATAAATAAAATCTAGTTGTAGATACATAAATAAAATATAAATCAATATAAAGTGAGTTCATATAATATTTTGTTCAATTTTCATAGCTGCATTTCACACGTTGTTTCATGTTTACACCAAACCTGTGAGTAGCTATCATCCCGATTTCACTGAAGAGGAATTAGATTAAATAGCTTGTTTCAGATCGTGTGGTTTGCAAGAAGTAGGTCAAGATGGAATTTAGGCCTATTTGTATCTGAGTTCAGTGTACATACTCTTTATACTTTTCACGCGACTTTATCTTTCACGTGTCTGGGAGAAGGCCTTGAATAATATATGTACAGTAGTCCCCCCTTTACCAAGGTTTCACTTTCTGCCTTTTCAGTTACCTGCAGTCTGAAAATATTAAATGGAAAATTCTAGAAATAAACAATTCATAAGTTTTAAATTACATGCCATTCTAAGGAGCATGGTGAAATCTCACACTGTCCTGCTGCTTCCTGCCCAGGATCCCCAGCCATCATCGTCTTCTGCTCCTGAGACTCAGTCACTGCCATCATGATGGCTGGATGATTCGGGACCACCTGAAGTAGATGTATAGTCAGGGGGAGATGAGTAGCCTAATGCTACATCGCAGTGCCTGCAGCGTTCA